GTATGAGAATACTAGATTTTATAGACACCAGTATACCCACAATAAGGGTTATTAATGTAACGACCATGTAACCTGTAATTAAGTTGCGTTTAATATGCATTTGCTTATCTACTGAAGAAAAAATCCAACTTGCTACCATGTAATAAATGAAAGCTGTAATACTTGAAAATCACCACAAAAACCTTTTATTGATTCAAACTAAGGCAGTTGAGAGTGCTTTCTCGTTGAACATGTCACTTTCTAAAATAATTTATGACTTCAAAGTATATTATCATTTTCCTTCAAAAAGATATAACTCGTTTGTCTCCCGTCTATATCAACAGATATATAAAATTATACGCCAGCTAATTGCTGGTTTATTTTCGACATTTGACATGGCAAGGGAATATATGATTAATTTTCCATTTAAATAATTTGATTAAGTAAACATATCTGACGGTATATATTGTCCGGGATATTGAACATTTTAATTCTATTGATTTCTGTTTTAACTACCGACAAAGGTGCGAAATACCGGAGTAGATATGCACCACTGTATGTACGTAGACTGTTAGTTCACTGTTTGACGTCTGCCAACTTATATGTATACAACATTTTTCTTTTTTTATGTGACAAGAACAAATATAAATTTAAAGAGTCAATATTTGTAACTGAAACAGATATTAAAGTAAAACACCCATTATTCAATAACAATAAAAGAAGTAGAGACGGTGATTAGGAGCCCGCCAAAGGTAAATCTCCAATCGATTTGATTCGCTGAACATTTTCTCGTTCCCACGAGGAGTAAAATAACGCTTGTGAATACCTTCATTATTTTAATTTCCTTCTCTCTGTCATCAAACCAGTGTGAACTATTGTTGAGAAAGCTACATTCAAGTCTCTATGTTTGATCACTAATGTGTCTATTTTCTATAGCCTTCTGTATTCAGGTGAGGTTTACATTGAAATCAAGCGTTCGTTTGATACTGTAATTTTGTTATTCTTGTGCAAATTCATTACAATCGACTGCCATCGTTACTTTTCGTTGTTTGTTTTCTCCCTCGAGAAATCGTTATCAATATTTATTTAAGGTAAATCAGGGTCCAGCCGCCCTATCTGGCAGAGTATAAAGCATAAAGCTTAGTGATTAGCACGGACAATGCCACCAAATATCTCCTTAAAGGGTTAATTTTGAAGCATAAAGTGGTAAGAAAATATCTCTACAATTATCAGATAATAAGCCAAAGAAAAACTGTTCTTTGAGTCTAAAATATACAGTAGGTTATACGAGACAATACAAGAATGTCATGAGCTATGTACAGCTGCTATTGAGATGTCGCAGTCCATTCTGCCATTTTAATTTTCATAGATTTAATTTTTTGCCTTACCACCTTACGTACCTCAATACTCACATATAACTCTTTTAGGTTCACTTCCCTCGGACTGTAGCTGTCCATGTACTGAATTTCTTCTGTCGGTGCCCTGTGATTTCTTTGCGATTGAACACCAATTTTACACGGAACAAAATATCAAGCATTATAAGTTTGGCGTTATTTGGCATCCAAAATATAATTTCGAAATTTAACTTTTTAGCTTTTTTTGTTTGTTCTTTTAAGGTTGTTGCGTGTATCTTGATATAACTTAAGAAATGTATTCGTATTATTTCAATTTATTTGCGACGAACGTATTTTATAAACAGACATTGTAATTTTTTGGGATTTTATTCTACACATAGCTTATGGTAGATGTTGATTTTTGTTTCGGTTTTGTGCAGTTAGTCATTTATATGTTTTTATTTATATTTATATATACAGCAACACCAACAACAAAAAATGGAGATAGGTTTTGTTTGACAATACTGAACTTTTAATATAAATTAATCTTATTCGTAAAGTAAAGAATTTTGTCAGAAAATATAACACTTGCAAATGATCTCATCAAATTTACATTTAGACCTTATATTAGGAATATACACGAGTTATATAATCCCCGTGCATGGATACATTTCTAATATTGCATTTGTAACGGTTAAATCATTGGACGCGGGAATGAGTAACTTTGTTGTTCAACAAATTCTAATAATGCAACCATGCAGATAAACATACAAATGTTATTAATTTTGTATTTAAATTAATTCATTTTGGTCTCAGTTGCCGCTCAAATTAGCTATTAAATGACACTCGTTTCTTGTTTTGGCTTTGTTACGACTTTAGATGCACTTTTGGTAGATGCAAAATCTAGAAGCAAAAGAATGCTCAAATACTAATTATTAACATTTTATATTATATGGTATAATGCTATTCTGTCAAAATGGCCAGACGCCTATACGCTCAATGATGTATCTTTTTTTTATTTCGTGCAATCCTTCCAATCCGTGCGTCATTGTCGGTGTCCGAGTCAGCGTCAGTTATTTTTTGTACCCTGAATTAATTGCGTTATCATTCTGAAACTTAGACTTCTTTATGGGCTTCACGCAGTAGTACGGGCGTTACTTTTTATGGACTTTGGCCCTAATTTAGATTTTCGCCCCTTTAAGTTTACGCGCCATAATGTTATGAGCTTTAACATTGAATACTTGATAAAGATCATCACCTGAACTTTCAGGCAACATACTTGTAACACATCTTTTCCTTAGAGATTGAAAAATTTCCTCCTTGCCAATTTAATTACTTGTTCTTTACATCCTATAATCTCTGTAATAACGCATGCGATTCATCAGATTCTTTTATGCAAGAACACATAACTCTATCGTGGGTCTTATAACGCTAGTTGAGCATCATGTCTTGAAAACCTGCAGCTCCTGTTTCAATGATGTCCTTATTGAATATCACTTTTTACCAACCTGAACAAAAGATATGCTCAGAGTTGAACTTATGTGATGGCAGTGTGAAATGACAAACCTAATGCGACTTCATTACTGACTTTACCCTTTTCTATCATGAATCTCATATGAGCAATCCAGGGCCACCATGGCCCTCTTGTTATAAGATAACTTAATTTCATTGTTTTATTTCTGGGCTATTTCCCACTTATCGCTCAATTTTTCAAGTACCAGTAATCTATTGCTCGATAGCCGCATGTGGGTTCAAGCCCCGACAGGGGCAAAGCGTTCTTTCCTCGAGTAAGAAACTTTACACTCATTGCTCAGTACTGGTTGGTTCCAAGAACGGATTTGAAAGTGTGTTTATAAGCTTATAGTTTCCTACACAATCGAACTAAAATAAATTCTGTATAAACTAAAGTACATGGTAATAAACTGCCGTCATATCTTCATGATTTCCAGACCGATTTCCTGAATGTATGCTATTAGGTCGACGCAAAACGCCATAACTTGGGCACATTAATCGAAATAGCTACATTTAGCGTTTAATCTCGTTTAATCCTCGACCACTTTAAAGGACATGCGTATTAACTGATATTTAATGATTTATTTCTGACCACTCTTTACAAACTGACATTATGTACACACCTAAAAACAAACGAGCAATTCTGTTTTCAATTTTGCCTTTGTACAAATAAAACGATCACAATAAGTATTGACGTTCGATCAAATACCCTGGTGAAGTTTTAGTAAGAATTCTTCTTCAAACATTTTATACAAAGGCAAAGAAATTCACTTTACCGTTTTAAAGAGTCGGTGTAAGGTTTATTACGACCTTGTTAAACGTGTTAATTTTATTATCATTCGATCAATCAAGCAATTAAAGTGTATGAAAATAAGACGAGCTAGTTTCCATTATAAAAACGTTTTGTGAGGTTTAATGGCTAGATAGACGTGTATATTTACTTTTCATAAGTAAAACGAGAGATAAAATCACCGACAGTTCGATTGGTAATAACGTTTTCGGTATGAATTTAAATTTATACTTTATGACAGGGAAGCCCATGCTACCAGTGTATCAGACCAAATTTCATAAACATTTTAAATGTATTCGCCGCAAATCTCTGCTACACAATAGTCTTTAAGAGTTCATTGTGTTTTGTGTTGTGAAAATATCTTTATTAAAATGAATTAAACTTATTTCATTAATTGTTGATAAATGATATCGTTCACCAAACTTTGTAAAATGATTTTACTGGTGCTTGCCCTGTAAATGATCGTGTTTGTCCAACGTTGTAAAATGTATATAGATGATATTGAATGGGTGTAAGTTCAATACTGAATTTATTGAACGAGTTGAATAAAATTTATTTATTTATTATTTTATTCAACGAGTTCAATAAATTCAGTAATGAACTTACACGAATTTAATATTCTATTTATCACATACCCAAAATAAAGACCACATAGTCATTTATCATTGACGCGCCTATAGTATAACGCTAACAATTAGCGCGTCTTAAATAACGCTAACGACGTCAAGTCAAAATATATGCATCATCATGGCCGTGCAATACCATTTGTACGGAGTCGCAAAATCGGCACGGGTGTGTGATAAAACAAAGTTGTAAATACCGGGGGTTTACCCGACGTTCACGGTGTCTGTATTATACTGTTAACTATTTCTAGATTACTAAACGTATAAATGACGGTACTTTGTCCAACGTTGTAAAACGTAAATGTCTTTATTTCCCGGACGCTGTAAGTAAATACTGTTTGAAATCACATGACTATTAAAATCATGTTAATATAGGACACGTCTTACTTTTTCACTTTTTCACGTATTAGTTTTTAAAATGTAGTTAAAAACCCGTTTAACTATACTCTGAGACATGAAAAGAATTGAAATATTGATGTAACATTTTTAAAGTGTTCTTTATAGAAGCTTATCAATATTTTAAATCTTCTTCATATGACGAGGATTAACTCGTAATCTCTGCAGGATAAAAAGACGTCACGATGCTCATTACACATTGAATACGGAACTTTTACGAAGGCTTCCGAATTTACGTTAATGGCAATGCTGATTGTAATGTGTATTATTTAATTTCGAGTCCCCATGAGTTCCTACCTTGAAATATTGACTGATCAAATAATGCCGTTGATAATTATATTGACAAACAGTACACGTTACAAATATAAAATCGAAAGCTGATTAAGGCAAAACCAGGGTACAGATTAAAGTAGTTTAAATAGTTTAAAGCCACTGGCTTTTCAGTAGCTTTTTACTTTAAAAGATTTGAAATAGTCGTTTTTCGGGACTCTTGGATACCGTGCAAAATGGATCTGAGGTTTGTTCTACTATGAAAATATTTTTCAATGAGTGTTTTGATAAAGATTTTGTGCCAGGTTTATAGTCATTCATTTGAACTTAGTTAATTGAAGTATGGGAAGTGTTTGGCATTAAATTGCAATTTGTCTTGTGAAATTTTTAATTCTGTTATGATTGTATATTGATAACATTCATGGTTTATTTGTTGACTAAAGTATACCAAATTAAGCTTTATTTTGGTAATTACTTTGTACAGCGCTTGTTGGCATGTTATATCATACACAATAGACGGTGACATGGACAGCGAAAAAAAATCGTGTCACATTTCCAGAAGTCGTACATTTGTTTTCATTTGAATGAATAATTACACACCTGCGTTTCTATATATTGCATCATTATCATCATCATCCTTTTATTATAACAAAATTATAAATATTTAATATATAAATTTTTTTGCAATTATTAAATCAAACATACTTTTGTTATAGAACAAATGATTATTTTCAAGAATTTATTTATTCTATTTATTTTTATGTTTAATTTGAAACAGAAATTTTACATTTATGTTAGATATTCCATTATTGTTACATTTAACTTTTTAAAATCAAATACTGGCTTAGAATATCTCGTAAATGATATTGAAAATAAAGTTTGTTTCACTAACAAATTATAATATTCTGCATTTTAACAAGTTAACAACACATACTACTTTACATATACATTGTACTAGTTAATCATTTTTAAGAACTATTGCCGGCTCGCCACGGCGAGCCGGTATTACGGTAGGATTTTACTGAGAAACAACCTAAAACTCCGCAGCTATCCAAAAATTTAATCGAAGCTTGGCTTCCAGCTTTCTACAAAATTTATCTATCAGGGCTAGGATCCAAAATTATTTAGCCAATCAAATTTAATCTTACATAGCGTCAAAAAACCTTCAATTTTCACGCCATTTTTAAAAATCAGCAAGTATTGTTTTGAGCGCAAAGATATAATGATGATTAAAATGTTTGTTTGTATGAATTCTTTTCAATAAATCATATTAACACTGACTTCTGATTTAGCGATTTCACCTGTTTTCTCTGTAGTAAGTTTTCGTTTGGTTAATTAACATAAGTGTACATCTGGTTCTGTGCATTTTTTATTTTTCCTTTTTTTCCGGTCATTTTATCCTTTCCGGTATTTAGTGTATGTATTTACTGGCCGGGATCCGGGACGCCCGGGATCCGGGATCGTATAAGATATGGAGGAAAATCCTAATGAACTATATTTGTGTTGATTGTTGTCGTAATGAAAGGCCATTAAACGTTAATTTTTTTTATTGTATATAATGAACGTTAAATTAATTTAACTTAGAATATAGATATATTTAGAGCTATTTATTAACAAACTTAAAATGCGGAAATCACAATAGTTATAATTATATGCCTAATTAATTGGAAAAATCAAAGACTATTTTCTTGAATTGGTCAAATCCCGGGATCCCTGTATGTTTTAAAACGATCCCAGCTTTTCTGAAAACTATATACTTGAACTGGCCAATCCGTGAGATCTATTTACATTTTAATACGATCCCGGCTTTTCTGAAAACTATATTCTTGAACTGGTCAATTCCCGGGATCCCTATATGTTTTAATAGGATCCCGGCTTATCTTAAAACCATCTTCTTAGACTGGTCAATTTCTGGGATCCCTATATTTTTTAATAGGATCCCGGCTTTTCTGGCTGAATTGATTGACAACTTGTGTTTACTTTAGGACTTGTGCCTCTCATTCCAATACTAAATGACATACATGTATTACAACTTAATTTTGTATTAAGAGACATCTTTATGAAATCTACCTATCTAACATTTTGTGGTCAAGGTCAACAGGCCATATAGTAAATGTGCATAGACATAGGTTCTTCAATCTGTTTACATGCACCTTCATATATACTCATACTCATACTCATCTTGGTTAAACTGAGAGAACTTTATATGTCACTTTCAGTCAATGAGTTTAAGATTTTGAATTTACTGGCCCGAATTCCAGTTTTGAATTTATTCTACTAAATAATTAAAATTTTCTTAAATTTACACTGGCCTGAACTTATATACACTGGCCATCGGGCACCGGGCCAGTGTTGACTTCACTTTTATTTTGTTGTTCGCTGAAGTCTCTTCAGCTAACAGAACTGTCATTTTTACATTTAAACACACCCCTTGAAAAAAATTACGAAGCGAGTCGCTACTAGCTTTTTTAAAAGCTAACCTTGTTATGTGTATATTTCAGGTCGCCAATTACAGGAAAGATCATGCCGGACCGAGGTCGGTATAACAGCATTAGTGAGCGTGGTCGGCTCAGTGTAGCCTCTAACTATAGTATGAGCACATCCATGGACCTTACTTACAGAGATTACTTGTAAGTTTAAACTCCGTCAATGTCATGTTAAGATATCGAGAGTGGTTAATCAAATAAAAGAAACACAGTTTCAGGATAGGTTAGAAAGATATGCAAGGCGGTTACCACTATTATACGGGAGAAATAAACCCTTAATGGATGTCTTTCCCGACTATTTGAATAATGCATAATACATGTACCTAATGTTTTGTGTCACATTAAAACACAAGGTGATACACATGTCTTAAGATCATAATTGTAAGTCACTGTCATAAGACCATTAAAGGACCTTTACTTGTTAAATCCACTCTTGACTAGTACTGAGATTAGTTGAGTTGTACAACTGGCAGCTCGTATTTCATTTCCCTATAAAGTGTTGCATTTCCCTATAAAAGTGTTGCATTTCGAACAACTGGCATCAATTGGACTTACATATACTTAGAAATCCGAAGTTTATTAAGATAAATAAGTAACTGTATATACTGATCATAGTAGATTTTTTTCGGATAGATATATACGAACGTCTGTCTGTATCTTTTAGAAAAAAATAATATACCAGAGTAATAAATTGTAGAAGACATTGGCCGTTGCATTGAATACCACCAGCGAAGTTTGATGTGGCCAGAATGAACAATTCCATGATGATCCGTCTACTTTTACATATGCATCATTATGAATGTAACAATTTAATTTATGATTTCAGTGGACCGCCAAACTACACCCCTTTTGACGAAAGTATGATTGAGCTGGACTTCATCAAAGTTAGAACGAAAACTCAAATTAAGAAACTTAATTCCTTAAAAATCCGTTACATGGAATGGTTCCAGAGAAAATTTAAATCATTTCTTGAAGGTATTAAACTTACACAAATTTTAGCGGGAAAACTTTTACCCTCTGAAATTCAAACAATGAAAGACTTCAAGAAAATTCAAGACATGTCGCGCAGGTTTCCGCGCAACGGTACACCACGTGACACAAATCCCGCCAAAATGGATGAATACTCTATGTTCTGGACGGAAATGTTAGATCTCAAAGAGGAAACAGACGATATTTACGAAGCGTTATGTAAATATTGTGAAGGTGTTACTAGACTCCGACAGCCTTTCATTAAAGATGAAATAGACAGACTCAAAGTCGTCCTTGATGAAGCCTTTTCTGAGGAGTTTGTTTTCACAGACGTCAAAAACGAAAGAGATAATCTATTTGTGTACAAAGTTGCCCCAACAGACTATAAATATCACGGAATTATGGGATATATTCCCTATCTATTGACCATTTCAAAGAAATTGATGGCTTGGATTACAAAAGTTCATTTAGAAAAGGAATAGATCATTATATCGCAGTGTTCAGTCGTCATTATGTATATTATATGCCATGACGTAATCGTCATCAAAACCAAAATGACAGGGCAAACTTTTAGAGTAACCTTTTACATGTGTCAAAGACCTCTGTTGAGCATTTAAATACACAAAAGTTGTATCTTTTAAAGATTTCTTACGTTTTCATACTTGACCTGTACTGGAGTTAAGAGGTTTCCAATGGAACAACTCTATAAAGAAAAGGACACAGCTTTTAAGTATAAAGAGATGTTTTGATTAACAGTTATTTTTAGAAAGAAAGAGCTGTGTCTTATTTCAAGAGCTTTTGTTAAGTCTATAAAATTCAGGTCATATCTTTCTAAAACATTATTCGTTTCTCAAATATTTTTCTTAAAACAATTTTATCAATCATTCAAAATCGCCTTGTTCATGTAGATGTATATACTCATCAGTCACATATTTATTTAAAGTGAATAAATCATCACTTGTCTTTATCTTAGTTCTGTATTTTGTTGAAAAGACATCAAACTCCGTGCAGCGGTTAAGCTACGGACAGACTAATCCTGTAAGAGAGATCACTGCGTGGGACCAAAGGGACCAGGCACAGTGTTGGGATAGTGTAAAAAAGTAATTCTAGAAAAAAAAATATACTTTATATACTTATATTATATATACAATATATATTTTTTTTAAAATACTTTTTTACACTATCCCAACACTGTGCTGGGTCCCTGTGCGTGGGACAGAATGAGATTCTAGCAATATCTGATCAGGCTCTTTACTGGTGACATAGTCATATCACTTATTGCCCTTTCATAATTATATACTACACAGTTTGATGAAAATTAATCACATTCTGTGATAATTCTTGTTAACAACCATAAAATAACTGTATATTTAGCATAATCTATTTATTATTACATCACTGTCTGTAAGTTAGAGTAGTTCTGTAAGTTCATTGAATGTGGATCTGTACGTTTATTGAATGAGGCTGCCAGTTTATAGTTAACAGTGTGGATATGTATATAAAGTCATAGAGTGTGGAAATATGTAAGTTCATTGAGTGAGGCTATAAGTTCATTAAATGTGAATCTATAATTCTACTGAGTGTGGCTGTAAGCCCATTGAGTGAGGCTTTAAGTTCATTAAATTTGAATCTGTAATTCTTTAAAGTGTGGCTGTAAACACTTTGAGTGAGGTTATTGTGAATTTGTAATTCTATAGTGTGTGGCTATAAGCTCATTGAGTGAGGCTATAAGTTCATCAAATGTGTATCCGTAATTCTACTGAGTGTGGCTGTAAGTACATTGAGTGAAAATCAGTAATTTCATTGCATGTGGATCTTTAAGTTTGTTGATTGTGGGTCAAAGAAGTCATTGCGGGTTGATTTGCATGTTCATAGAAAGTGTATTAAGTGTGGATCTGTAAGTAAATAGGAAGAGAATCTGTAAGCTCTGTGATTGTGAATCTGCAAATTCATTAGAATATGATAATTTCAGTAGAAGTAGATATGTAAGTTCACTGTGTGAGGACTGAAGATCTCTAAGTTTTGTTCTTTGTAATCTTTACTTTCAGAGCCGGAAAATCTCTACTCTCTTGTTTACTGTGGCTCACTCTTAGTATTTGTTCATGGAAAAGGAATCTTTTAGTCTTGTTTGTATAAATCAATGTGTAAGTTCATTGTTGTGTAGAAATCAGAATACAAAAACATGAATTTGTTATACTGATAGTGGTATGCCGGTAACACTGATTTATATTACATGTAATATAAATCTGTGGCCGGTAATTGTAACACATATTATCAGTACATGTATATGCAAATAAGGGGAAATACTATCACTTTCTGTATCTTGTAAAAAAATCAATACTGTTGTTGGTGTATTCAATCTCGTAATGGCAAATTTCGTAAGGCATATTCTTAAAGTAAAGTGTTTAAAAAATCAAGATTTCAAACATCTGATCTTCCTTCCACAATAAAACTGTTTCATAGAGAGGTTCAAAATGATTCCTGTAAGCCATCTTTATATAGAGCTAAATTATTTTGCACTGTTTTGATTGACAGTCTTATCCTCTGTCATAGACTTTAGACATTTTGTTTGGTTGGGTTTAATGTTGCACAAGCACTGTAAGGGTCATGTGTCGACTTTCAAGCTTTACTGGTAGAGGAAGACCTCAGGAGCCCCTCTGTGCATTATTTCAGGCACAAACGGGCACTTGCATAGAACCACTGACAATCCTTAAAGCTGCACACATCCAGATGAGCAAAAACATTTCAAGATAATCAAACTTGAGAAAAATGTACTAAGATTTTAAGAAAAGTAAAGAGCTTTAAGATTTATTTCATGATTTACACGTTGTGTGCGATTTATGACTGATTTTTCATTATTAATCACCATAATTCAGTAATAATGCAGTAAGGGATAATTTGCAAATTTTGACCTATTTTTGGAAATTGATGTGGATTGCAAGTGCCGTTGAAAATGTATAAATTACTTACTTTGTTCATTTCTGAATATTTAAATTTAAATACATTTCCAAAACTTTCATGAAAATTAGCATGAATCTGGAGGCTTGCTGCTTTAAGCTGGCTTGATAACTTTCTCGTATGGAAGAATCTAAAGTTCCTAGCAAAATTCAAACCCACAGTAGTGAAGGGCAAATGGTTTGAAGTCAACAATCTTATCCGCTTGACTTCAGACGTAAAGACATTATTTCAATTCATTCCCCTTTAATACAATTACATGGGTTTTATCCAGCAATATATCAATTCAGCATTGCTAATGGGAAAGTGAAGTAGTCGTAACATAGGAATCATAAGAAAGGACATTTTCTTTCAAACACACAACTGACCTATATGAATTTGATATAGTGTTGGTGTGACCTATAAAAAAAACATTCAGAAAAGAGAAATGTTAACACTTCCATTAAATAACAATACAGGATTTTTTTATATAGGCAATATGTAAGTAGAAATGCAAGCAGAAATTCATGTATAATAATTATAATACAATTTTTGGGAAGGGGATTCAGTACAATTTCATTATCAGTTTATGAATATTCATTAGATATCACATGACTTGCTGATGTGTAGACTCAAAATACATTGTAATACATTCCTAAAGTTTAAAAGGGATTAAAGTATTGGCAATCCTTCAGTGCAGAATAATCAAATCCCTGTATTATGTGTTTATAATTTAAACATAAAACTTGGAAACTTTCGTTCGTTTTTTAAATACATATATTAAAAGAGTGTACTTTTATAACTTCACAAGGTTACTATTTTAAAGTTTTATCTTATCAGAATTAGGCTTATTAGCAAACAAGAGCAATCTGCAATAACATACATATGTTGCCTGATGATAGCCAATTGCATGTTGCAGCTACTGTGTAGCAGGAGACACAAAAAAACATCAACAATCCGTATTGTTATTCAAAGGCCATAACTTAAACAGAAAAACTCATGTAATATGCGCAAGAACTGGAGATACCGATCAATCCTGTAAAGTTTCATACAAATTGTATAAGTAGTATAAGAGAAGTAGTTCAGAACAAACTAAATATCATTAAAGGGCCATAACTTGGACAAAAATCATTAATCCAAAAATTGCTGATGATATGCACAAATAGACTTTTTAAAGTATTTTATTTCTGTTGCCATGGCAACCAGTGTTCTGCATGGAATTCAACTCTTTGAACAATTTTCAAAAGTGACCACCCAAGGAACATTCCTGTAAAGTTTGGATGAAATTGACTTAGCGGTTTATAAGGAAACATTGTATAAAGCAAACGTTTACTGACTAACAGACGCTATACAGACAGACGCCGGACAAAAAGCAATCACAAAAGCTCACTATGTGACTGGTGAGCTAAAAATACAAGTACATTTGTACTGCTTTTGTATGGGAACTACTCGCAAGCCAGTATAGAAACAAGATTTTTATTTAATCAAAAAATAAAGTATAATTTATTGAACATTTTAAAACATCTAATTAATTCAGTTTAAACAATGATTCAACAACAGATATAAAACCCTCGTCAAATTCACTCTCTGAAAATCTTGTCACAGTTTTAAAACATTTCACGAATTTTTTAAAACTCTCTTTTGAACAGATTGAAGTTTTTTTCTCCATAAACAGCATAAGATTCGTGTCTGAGCAAGGTAACCATCGTTACCATCGTAGGCAAAAAAAATATCAAATTTTGGTCCGGCGGATCTGAGCCAGAGTAACCAGACCCGCCATAAATCTCGCCCAAACCCCTAAACGGGAAGCAATATCATCATAAAACATAAAAATAAATATTATTGGTACGGGCTTTTAAATAATTACAAAAAGGGGATGTCAAAATTTACAATCAATTTAAACTTGGAAATGGCATTCCCATCTAATTTCAGGGAACAAAAAAAACTTTTACCGTTAAAACCTTCATGACCAGCACAACTTTTTAAAAAGTTTTTGCTTGTTTAACGGGGTTTTATCAAAACGACACACCCTAGGTATTGGCAACGTTCAAGTTTTTACTGGGGGAGGAAGCCCTAGGTCCCCTTTTCCATGCTTTTTTAGAAACGAATGACACCTGAGTAGAACCCCCAAACGTTCGTAAGTAGTGGAATTCCCTCACATGAAAGTTTCCATAGCCCCCTGTCGGGTTTGAACTAAAGGGGTGAGGGGCCATTTTTAAGTCAACTACCTTAACCACTCGGCCACGGACGCCCCTTCAAAATAGTGAATGATTAACATGTTGCACTTATTATAAATAAATCAATCAAGTTGTAAACTGTCAAAGTTTGTACCCCAGAATTACATGAGAGGAACTTCATTTGCCAAGTTCCTAAGAACAATGTTTCTTACTTGTAATGAAACTAATCAGGAAAAATAGTAAACTTCTTTAATAAACTTGCCTATTCCAAAGTGTTCATCTCTCATTGTATGTAATCCAATCGTACTCTCCGTCATCATTTGTTTCAGATCTTCAAATGGCACGTTCAATTTAAACTCAACATAATCTTTGATACTCATTTCCTCTGCTAATTTCCTTAATTCCTCTACACGCTGGCTATCTTTTAGGTCTCTACAACCTCCAACGAGAATTAATTTGTATTTGCATTTTTCTTTATCAGAATATTTTTCCAAAAATTTACTAAATGATTCCAATTGTAGCCTATGATTTTTCTCTGGACGAAACTGAGCGATGGATAAAATAGATTGCACATCATTTTTAAGTTTGTCCGTGAGTTCAATTTTCATGAATTCTGATATATCACAAGGAGGATAAACAATTACTGCTTTATCTCCTACACCCCATAGGGACTTAATATGTCCGTATGTCCAAGTGGAGTTGACCATAACAGCATCACTACGGCTTCCAGCCAGACCATAACAATATGCAAACATTCTATAATACAGTACTTTAATACTGGTTAGAAATGAACTTCTAGTTACGATGGAGGCGTTATTAAAACCTGCCTCCCTCTCAGAAACTCTCTGAAGCATGTCCGTGCTTATGGTCGGATAATGAACATAGCAACCAACGGCACTTCCTCCAAGATATTTAAATAAAGGCAACGTAAAAGCATATCCCATACTGTCAATATAAATATCTGGGACATACGCCATCAAAGCTTCCCAACCAAGAACTACAGAACCTATGCTTTGACCAAGGAGTGTGAAAATTGGATATTTTCTGGCCTCAACCCAGTTCCGACTCCTCAAGAAAACAAATTCCACTGGTTTTGGAAGAGTTATGTTAAATCTTTGTCTTGCTTTTTGTAAAATTTCAGCACCACTTGCATCATAGTCCCCAGTGTAGACCAAACATCGTACATTTGGGTATCTGAAAATGCAATAAATAGATGTAATAAATTTTTCTTATAGATAAATAAGATGATACTATGAATGATGAAAACAAACAATGAAATATGACAACAAGGATTCTGTTGGAAACAATGGATGCTCCAGAAAGAAGCACACAACAGAATGGAGAATTTGTAAAGCTTAAGACAAGAGGGCCATGATGGCCCTGAAGTCGCTCACCTGTATATAGGCCCCCAGAGCGGGGCCAGTTTAAACCCCAGGGCTTTTATTTGAACAAACTTGGTAGACACCCATTAGAAGATATTTCATGCTTAACATCTAAGATCTAGCTGGTCAAGTTTTTTTCTTTACATATATAATAAGTTAAAAACAATGACACACCTGGGGCAGGGCCAGTTTTGACCCAAGGGCTTTTATTTGAACGATCTTTGTAGACACTTACTAGACAATGTTTCATGCTTAATATCTAAACTCTAGCTATTCGGTTTTTTTCATAGAAGACTTTTAAGTTTTTTCTATACACATATAAGGAAAATCAATGTCAGCCGGGGCGGGGCCAATTTTGACCCCAGGGCTTTTATTTAAACAAACTTTGTAGACACTCACTAGAAGATGCTTCTTGCTAAATATCTAAACTCTAGCTATTTGAGTTTTTTCAAAGAAGATTTTTTAAGTTTTTGCTATACACATATAAGGAAAATCAATGATCCCCGGGGCGGGGCCAATTTTGACCCCAGGGCTTTTATTTGAACAAAGTTGGTAGACACCCATTAGAAGATGTTTCATGCTAAATATCTTAGCTCTAGCTCTTTGGGTTCTTTAAAAGAAGATTTTTTTAAGTTTTTACTATATGCATATAGGGAAAATCAATGACCCCCTGGGGCGGGGCCAATTTTGACCCCAGGGCTTTTATTTGAACAAACTTGGTAGACACTCACTAGAAGATGTTTCATGCCAAATATCTAAGCTCTAGCTCTTTAAGGTTTTTAGAAGAAGATGTTTAAAGTTTTTTCTTTTGGTTGCCATGGCAACCAGAGTTCTGCATGGAATGGAATTCTTTGAACAACTTTGTTAAGGCTTCACACAAGGAACTTCCCTGTGAAGTTTCATTATGATCTGCCTTATGGTTTCAGAGGAGATGTCGTTTGAAAAGTGTGAACGGACAACGGACGACGGATGACAGACGAAGAGTGATCCTAATAGCTCACCCTGAGCATATGCTCAGGTGAGCTAAAAATAGCAGTTAAGACACCATATTAAAGTGATCTCTATCAGAAGGTACCCTGACAAATTTCTTACACAATTCAAATCCTCTCAATGTATTCTATCACCCTGAATTTTTTCAAAAAATCCCTTGTATACATGTAGCTTTGAAGTTATTTTATGGACAGTTGATAGTAAAGCTTCCTGTAAAGTTTAAATGAATTCCTGTCAGAAATTGCTGAATAGTCCAAAAATAACTAGACCTATCACTGAAGGTGATTAATACCCCCACCAGCAACTTTTTGAAAAATAAGTAGTCTGAAGAAAAAATTCAACACAAACTATCAACTGTGTACAAAGAAATATTTCAATTAATTGTAATCCCAACTGGGGTCTCCAAATAAGCTTGCTTTTCACAAAGTTTGATTACAATATCTCATTCCTAACTCTAGTTATTGTCCGGAAACCATTTTTCTATTTTAAGGAATGATGAACTTGACCTTGACCCCAGGGGGTCCAAATGCAATACCAACCCAGGTCTTCATATAAGCTTGTTATACACCAAGTTTAATAACAATATCTCATTCCTAACTCTAGTTATTGTCCGGAAACCATTTTTCTATTTTTAGTAACGGTGACCTTGACCCCAGGGGGTCCAAAAACAATACCAACCCAGGTCTTCATATAAGCTTGCTATACACCAAGTTTGATTACAATATCTCATTCCTAACTCAAGTTATTGTCCAGAAACCATTTTTCTATTTTTAGTAACGGTGACCTTGACCTTGACCCCAGGGGGTCCAAATGCAATACCAACCCAGGTCTTCATATAAGCTTTGCTATACACCAAGTTTGATAACAATATCTCATTCCTAACTCTAGTTATTGTCCGAAAAACCATTTTTCTATTTTTAGTAACGGTGACTTGACCTTGACTTCCTGGGGATCCAAATACAATACCCAACCCAGGTCTTCATATAAGCTTGCTATACACCAAGTTTGATTACAATATCTCATTCCTAACTCAAGTTATTGTCCGAAACCATTTTTCTATTTTTAGTAACCATGACCTTGACCTTGACCCCAGGGGGCCTAAATGCAATACCAACCCAGGTCTTCATATAAGCTTGCTATACACCATGTTTGATAACAATATCTCATTCCTAACTCTAGTTATTGTCCGGAAACCATTTTTCTATTTTTAGTAACGGTGACCTTGACCTTGACCCCAGGGGGTCCAAATGCAATACCAACCGGAGTTTCCACATAAGGTTGCTATATACCAAGTTTGATTACAATACCTCATTCCAAACTCTAGTTATCGTCCGGAAACCATGATGTGGACCGACCGACGGACGGACGGACCGACCGACCAACCGACCGACCGACAAGCTGACTCCTATATACCCCCCCTAAACTTCGTTTGTGGGGGTATAATTACCACTGAACAGGCATAAAAGGGGCACAACTTGTTGAAAAATCATGGATGTTGCAATAAATTCAAATGGTTGCTGGTAATAGTCCACATATAATTTTATATTAGTGCCAGATGGATGGACAACGCATCAACTATATACATCCCAGTTGGAGTACATAATAAAATCATTTTCCAAATATTTAAAATGGCTAACAAACCGCTTAAAAATACATAATAATTAAAATGCAGTTAAAAACAATAGATACATAAACCCTGTATCAATAAAATAAATGGCCAAGGGAGATAATACTGAAGTTTTAACAAAGATATTGCAAAGAGTAGTCCCTTTCAGTTGGTACTTATTTTGTTAAAATTTGTCCTTAAAATGATAAATGCTTTTGTCCAAATTGACAATTCCATTCACAATATCTAGCATGGTAAAATTTAAGGCAATTTGTGTAAATTTAAATCAGAGATAATCCTTCAATCATCTTAAATACCAAGTTTGCTGAAAGCCCATTATAGCTTAAATGTATTTCACATTAATTTAACTATGACAGGGGCATACAAATCAGTCAATTAATACAGTCTAATAATAGAAATTTTCCATGAATGCTACAGAAAAAAATCTGGAGAGGATACTAAAATCTTTGGTTTATAAGAAGGTGCATATCTACATTGTTTATTTAGCTCTACTTATCTAACAAACAATGATTTCAACAAAATTGATGGAGGTTAATTGTAAAAGGATGTTAGATTAAAGAAATTCTGAACAAGACTCACACAGAGATATTTTCTTAGTGATTTTTTTTTCAGTAGCATCAGCCTTTCCAGTAAGCTCATCATGAAGCTTTGGTTCTGATAACACTAGAAGCTTTCATTGGCAAAAGCAAGAAATGTTTACCTATTCTGCAGGGACCTAATGGCAACCCAAAGTACCCTCTCTCCTCCCCCTCCGGCATTACAATATGGATGGAAGAATCCCACAACAACAGTTTTCTCCCCTGATCCAAAACTCTCTCTCAGATGAGGTAGTAAAGTTTTCGCCCTCTTTCTTATCCAATACTTGATGAATGTAAACAGCACAAATGACACAAAGATGAAAAATATGCAAATCAATATGAGCAGCCAAAACATCTCAGACAGGAAACTGAAAAAGACAATACACAATTTGTTATTGAAAAAATTAAATGCTTGAAAACTACATAAAAGGCTATTATATTAATCATTATCTTCAGTGAAAGTAAATGTACATACATGTATCAACATCAAGTCCTTGTGAAATCTAGCATAGTATTTTTATTGCATATCAGGACTGGCATTTCTGTTAGTTTTACCCATGCTGGAAATTTCATTTGGCATGGGGAAGTGACAGATGACTCGTGTGCTGACTGTACAATGGCACGCTTTTGATGACGTTATTTTTACCGTTATGAATTATGTTATAATTTCATACACTGTTGTAAGGAAATAGTAACAGGTGTAATGACATAAATTTCCATGGGAAATTGTTTTACTAAGGTAAAGAGTATAAAATATAATGGAATATGGTAGAATATGCAAGAAAGAAGATTGCATTTTGAAAAATGCTATGTCACCGCATTAATACAACACTAAATAGTAGTCACTACTAGTGTAGGAACAGATTTTTTTTGTTTCTATACAAATGAAAATTTTCATAATGCATAGATCCCTGACCTATCTAATTCTTATTATCAGATTAGTGGTTAAATCTATTGTTTTTCAAAAAAAAGATCAGAGTAGGAATATATCAATGCAGTTGAGTCAAGTGAATTTGGTGGTGAAGGTCATATTTCACACAGCCTGAATTTCATGACTACATCAAAGGACAAGAAAGTAGGTCACATCATCAAAATCTTGGTCACCTGATATCAAAGTTCAATTTTACAACTAAAACTGTGCACATGGTCGAAATTTCATTGCTGTACATAAAAGGACATGAAAGTAGGTCACTGTGCAAAAATTTGACCAAAAGTTTTCATTCAAAACAAACTTGATACAGGTCCACCAAACAACATTTCATGTCAAATATCTAAGCTATAGCTTTCTCCAATTCAGAAAACATTTGTTTTAGTTTCTGTTTTTACTACATTTAAGAGTACATAATGAGAATCAATGCTCCACTGGCAGGGATAATTTTGACACCAGGGGCAAAATTTGACCAACTTTGGTAGAGGACTAGAGGATAGATGAAATTATATAGCAAACATCAAAGCTCTTGTTCCTTCAGACAAAAAGATTTTTTAACTATATGAACATAATGAAAATCAATGACTGCCGGGGCGGGACCAATTTTGACCCCAGGGCTATAATTTGAACAATCTTGGTAGAGGTTCACTTCGTAAAGTTTCATGCCAAATATTTAACCTCTAGCCTTTGTCAATTCAGAGAAGAAGATTTTTCAAGTTTTTACTTTATACATTTAAGGAAAACTATCGCCTCTGGGGCAGGGCAATTTAAACACTAGGGGCATAATTAAAACAACTTTAGTAGAGGACCCATAGATGATATTACCAAATATCAAAGCTCTAAGCCTTGTACGTTCAGACAAGAAGATTTTTTAATTTTTTACTATACTTACATAGTGAAAATCAATGACCCCCGGGGGTGGGGCCAACTTTGACCCCAGGGCTATAATTTGTACATCTTGCTAGAGGCTCACTACACAATGTTTCATGCAAAATATCTAACCTCTAGTCTTTGTTAATTTAGAGAAGACATTTTTTAAAGTTTTTACTATATACATATAAGGAAAATCTATGACCCCGGGGCGGGGCTAATTTTGACACTAGAGGCAAAATTTGAACAGCTTTGGTAAAGTACCTATAGATGATATCATATAACAAATATCAAACCTCTAAGCCATGTACCTACAGGCAATAAGGTTTTTTTTATTTTTTTACTATATGTACATAGTGAAAATCAATTACCCCCGGGGCAGGGCCAATTTTGACCCCAGGGCTATAATTTGAACAATCTTGCTAGAGGTTCACTACACAATGATTCATGCAAAATATGTAACCTCTAGCATTTGTCAATTGCTAGAAGAAATCTTTTTAAAGTTTTACAATATAAATATAAGGAAAACCTATGACCCCCGGGGCGGGGCTGATTTTGACACTAGAGGCAAAATTTGAACAACTTTGGTAGAGTTCCTATAGATAATATCACATACCAAATATCAAACCTCTAAGCCTTGTACATTTAGGCCTAAAAAAAAAATTGATGTGTTTCTGGTGGCGAGGCGAAAAAAAGTAGGGTCGGTAGGTCGGACTTTTTTTTTTTTTTTTTTGTCAATCAACGATTGTAGATATGTCAGATACGGATTATATGGACTTTAAATTATATTCTATAGCATATAAAAGTACTTAAAAATGTTAGACTACCAAACCTAGTCTTCAATCTTATATTTTGAAATAAATTTTAGCCTACCAATGGCATGACTCGACTTTCGTTTTCATTTTTTTTTATTCTTACCGAACAACTGGCTTCAATTTTAATATTATCACTCTTAACATGACCATGCACGTCCGAAAAATGTTTTGAGCTGTTTTGCTGTGGTCTATTAATTTGATTTCCTGTTTTGCCAAACTATGATCGTATTTTTAAAGAAAATCGCCAGCAGTGACACTTCGGCTGCTTGTTGTGCCGCCATATTAGCCGGTGCGCGTTAATACGTAATTGGAACACGAATCGTCTGTGCCTCACATCGCTGTCGACTCGCAATACTAAAACCCGTCTTCGGTACAGTCGGTACGGGCGCCATTTTTTTTTTTGTACATCGATAAAAAAATTTGGGTCGGCGCTAAAAAAATAGGGTCGGTCGGGCCACCGGAAACACAACATTTTTTTTTTTAGGCCTTAGACAAGAAGCCTGAAGGTATTTTAAGTTTTTACTATATGTACATAAAGTGAAAAATCAATGACCCCCGGGCGGGGCTGATTTTGACCCAAGGGCTATTATTTGAACAATCTTGGTTGAGGTCTACCAGAAAATGCCTTATCCAAAACATCAAAGCTCTAGGCCTTTTCGGTCTTTACAAGAAGATTTTTTAAATTTAATCTTATAATTCCTTTTGCTTGCCATGGCAACCAGATTTCTGCATGGAATAGAATTCTTTGAACAACTTTGGAGGCCCTTCACCCAAGGATCAATCCTGCCAAGTTTGGTTGAAACTGGACTAGTGGTTTTTAATTTCACAAGAAGATTTTTAAAGTTCACTATATAATCTTTAGAACACACATACACAGGTGTATCGCTATATGCCACCGCATCACAGATGCTGCGGTGGCATAAAAATATCTTACAAATGTTTGCAGTTCAGATCAGAAAATACCCGTCCCTCAGGAACATGCCCATGGGCTGGTCCCCTCAGGTCAAATATTCCGATCCAAACCGCAACATATGACAGATATTATCAATCCTATCTCAAATTGACAATCATATACCTGTAGTAAAATTTCACAAGTGGTGACGACACAATTATGTTATAATATACTGACGAATATATCATCAGAGTTATACAGTGTTTTCCAAAAAAACCATGGCTGATAAATGTTAATTAATGGTTCGGCCTTGGGTATATATATATACCGGTATCCCACAATTAGTTCTAACCAAATTACTAACGATTCACCACAATAACATTTTGCCAGATTACGATTCACCGGTGAAATAACGATTTGCCACAGTTTAATAATGATTAGTCACAGTAGGATTATATCAAAAAGACCAAAAGTGTCCGAAAACCGTTTAACCGAACCAGGTAACACTAAATAACACATGGGTTTTTCATGCTCATGAATGGATGCGTTTGACTACTTGCGCACCATGTGAAATACATATTACACATACAATAATTCAATTAATTTGTAATTTTAAAACAACGGATCAGTAAATATACCTAAAATATCCGTTTATTATCTCTGCCAACACCATCCCGGAAGTGTCAAAATTGTCCTATTTCCGTGTGTACGAAAGTGATTTCGGAAATAAGTACTCCATATCTATCTTTAACTATTTTCCAATGCTACTTAATTTGGTGTCAGTCAGATTAATTTGAATTATCAATAAGCTTTAATTAAGAGAAATTGATATCGCTGATACCTGTCATCGTTTTACTTGAAAATATAATTACCGTGAATTCCCTTCGATCAAACGTTTCACACTATTGAATTAGAAAAAACAACAACAAAATTATTATCAATAAATTAACTACTGTAAGTATTTCAGTTTAAGTCTAGTAAATTATGAACTTTGTTATTGTTGTTATCAGTTTCAATTTACTGTCTCGCTGTTAAACTTCGTTTTTTTTTTCTCACTTTTATCTAGAAGAAATAATTAAAAAAATGAATAGTGCTCGGATATGCATGTTTCTCTGAAAAATAAACAGGAAGGTTATGTAGAAATGCGTTTTCCTACGGAAACCGAAAGTATACGAATTTTCTTAATTCAAACCTGCAATATACTACTTGAAGTTAAGTTATTTATCAAATCTTTTCACTTCGAACTGATGAAAATGGAAGTGGTTCATGTCAAATTCTTTATAATTCTTTTATTAACCCCCCTTAAAATTTTAGTAAAAAACCAAATTGGTTTTTGTGTTTTCCTCTTGGTGTCCGGGAAACCCCAAAATGTGCTAATACCCCGCTCCCTGAAACAGGGGAAAAATTGACCTTTAATTTTATAAACTTTGTTTTTTTTTTTAAAAAATTTAAAATAAAGATGCTGCACAGTCAATACCAAAATATAATTGATGCGCCAAAGCCAGATTCTGAGATATTTTTGTTCTGGGTCAGAACCTTGCTTTTTTACGCTGAAACATGTTTTTGTCAAAATAGTTTTATGTGGCAAACATTTCACTCCAAAGACAGTTTACATTAGGATGATTAGTACTTAAATGTTTCTGATTCCATACCAAATAATAACAAATGTGCTTTCTATAGGTTATAAACTAATGTTATCTTCCATTCAGTTAGACTTATTTTTAAGAATAGATCATGAATCAACAAATAAGAGTGAAGCGGCTGGGGTTTATTTCAGTTTGGGATTATCTAATCAACAACAGAGCCTGGTCTTCCAAGTTTCCACCCAGCCATCCTGAGACCATAAATTTACTAATTTTCATTAAAGAAAGAAATAAATCTAGACAGTTTTATTGATGTTATTTATTTATTAATAAAAAATTATTAATTATTCCTATTGTTGTTAAACACAGTTTTCAAATTGAAATTTACCTTTGAAAAATCAAATATTCCTCGATTTCATTATTTTTAGAATTTTTCTTTATATTCTTTTTCAATAATGTTGAAATGATGGTAAAAAATCTTTATCATTCCTCGAAAGTAATCATTTTTTTTCAAGATAGATAATTTTCTTGGTATAAGACAATATATAATGTAACCATGCTAGCTAAAAATTGAAATGAAAGTAAATTTGTCAAGTCTTGGTTGGTGGTATTTTTAAATAAAAAAATAATAAATTTTTACCTTTTCAAGAATATACAAAAATATAAAGTTTAAAATGATAAGTTAATGAAAATATATTTTAAAGTAACGGTAGGTCTGTCAGATAACAAATGATTATGATGACAGTATTAAACTATCAAAGATAATAACAAACCACAGATTACAATTATAATTATATACAGATGACTTGTGTAAGAAATAGATCTCTGATAATTAAGTATTTTATATAGGCAAAGGTATTAACATGTTCTTTTGAACAAAATATTATTATACATGTATAATTGTTCAAACTTTATCCCTTAAAAAGCTTTTTCATCCATTTTTTTTCCAAAGGCAGTATGAGTATTCATTTTGTATGAATATTCCAAATGGATAACAATTTCCTATTGTTTTGTTTTTTTTTATCAAATATTTGAAATACTTTTTAAATATGTTGCTCTTTTGCAGTCCAAATGTTTTTGACTGTCCATTTTTCCAATGTTTCTGTCAATTAAGGAAACGTAATAAGCGACCACCCCTATATGTTAGTTAAAACAGAATTTTTGACAATTTATTTATTACATATTATATAAACTAACCAATTTTTACAAACTTACTTGATCTGAAAATATGTATCTAGTAATATCTACCGCCTCTGAATGTTAGTAAAACAGAATTTTAAGAGACAATTTATTTAACACATGATATCTATTTGACCAATATTTTAATTGTTATTTGATATTGAATATATATGTTCTACTCAATCTGCTGTTAATATTTCTGGATTTAAAATTTATGTGAGTTTTTTCTGTTCATTTATAAATGTATTATATATATATTTGAGGTGGTTTTATTATAATATAACATATTTTACAGTTTATATTTGATAATGAGGACAGAAAAAATCCCACGCAATATATAAAGGAAGCAATTAAATCAAGTTATAGTGTAAATCATATATAATACGTATTTTTTCGTATCTATCGTACGTTTTTTATCTTATAATGCAGGATAAACTGCTTTTTACTTTCTGACAAAATGAAAAAATAATACACTTACATCTTTTTAAATATGTATTTCTTTCCTCAAATCATATTTACATATAACAAACATACTATAAAACTATAAAAAATGTCATTTGATATATATCATATAAGGGTGGTCGCTATACGTTTCCGTAGTCAATACTGGGCATTATCACTAGCTGAATTTAGTAAAGTTCAACAATTACTGTGTCTCACTCTCTGTGGACCTGTTAAAAAGGATAGTTTTTTTTTTGCATTGGAAAGTTATTCCATTTCAGGAAGTTTCCACAAGTTTCAAAATTAAAATTTGACAAACATTCATGTGTTAATACAACATTGATGACTAACTCATTTGTTGTTTTTCCTTTTAAAGTGTAAAAAGGTCTTGTGATAATAAGTTATGTAATTATTTGACATATTTAATCAGTATACATATAACTGATTAGATAACATACTATGTAACACTTTCTGATCATTTTTGTTTAAATTGAATCATAATTAAAGAGTTAATCAAAATTATTATAAAGAAGTGAGCTAGTATACTAAAAATCTTCAATCAAGTGAGTTATATCTTATATGACAGGGCTTGTGTTAATTCTATTTCGGTAGTAGCGAAAGGATTATATTTTTATTACAACACTTGAGTTTATCTATTTGAGATGAGGGATTCATTGTCATATGACTGTATGTCAGAGTACAAGTAGGGTTGTACATATGGGTCATATCCCAAGCTCAGTTGAACACAGTGTTACAAGCATCTTATAGATATAAAGTTACCTTGCAGTGTTATATTGAACATTTGATATAATTATTATATTTTTATGTTAAACTGTTGTAACATACTTGAAATGTGTATATGATACATTGATAATAATCTATTTACTTTTTAGAATTTTTAAAAAAAAAAAAAAGCACCTTACTTTTGGGGTTTTATTCCCCCAAAAAAAAGGGAAAAGAATAAAAAAAAAAACCCAAAACAAACCACAAAAACCAAAATTTCCAAAACAAAATATAAAAAAAAAAAATTTTTTTACACCCAAAAAAAAAAAATTAAAAAATTAAACCCCAAAAAAGGGAAAAAGTTTACTCCCCCCCCCTATACTACTGGCGGATTGTGAAGGGTGGGCTAGATGATTTTGTTTGACAAATTAGTGTGTTAGTCTCTCTGCAGAGAACCTTAACATAAAACTGTAAAGTTAGTAGAAATAAATTTAGAACCAGGAAGTTGAAATTCAACACTATAAGTTATATGATACCCTTGAATGCATTCATTACTTTGATGTAAAGAATTTGAGAAATATACCTTTTATAATCATTATGGCTCATTTTTCAAAATTCACTTTAAGATAATTAACAGTCACATTGACTTACAATGTTAATGTACTTTTATATAAATAGATTTTATGTGTAAAACATTTTGTTCTTTAGGGCATACAATTGTATGTTTTACATTGATCTGATTATTTTTTTTTACTGAGGATGACACAAGGAGGGTTTTTGTTACTTGATATTTTAACACATTTCAATATTCATTCCACAGTTTAGCTGTAATGACAATCATCTAAATTTTGTTGATTAAACATTTAAACCTTGGATTGTATTTTTACCAGGAAAAATGGCTGATGATGAAACATTAAGATTATTGAAGGTAAATCATACCTCATTTTGAGAGCCAGGGCACATTATATTATTTTACCTTCATATTTTAGTTATAGCCTTTGGGAAATGGGGCTGTTTTTGCTTTTTGTTAACTTTACTTTGATATTTTATACCTAGATTATTTTTTATTATCTGCAAATTTCTTATTTTTCATATATTTTTTCAACACATGTATAACTACTGTTTTCCAAGGGCTAAGGTAAATAGATGATTAACCATATTTAGCTGTTACATGTTTCTTTTGACTACTTTGAGCAGTTTTATTAGCTCAACTATTCGAAGAATATGAGAGCTATTGTAGTCGCGTTGGCGTCAGCGTCGGCGTCTGCGTTGGTTAAAGTTTTTTGTAAAGTCTAATATCTCAATTATTACTTTAGATATTCAATTGAAACTTACAATACTTATTTATAGTAACAAGGTACATCAGATTGACAAGTTGGATAACTCTGCCAACAATATTGACAGAATTATGCCCCTTTTTAACTTAGAAATTTTGGTTAAAGTTTTAAGTAAAGTCAAATATCTCAATTATTGCTTGAGATATTCAATTGAAACTTACAATTCTTATTTTTAGTAACAAGGTACATCAGATTGACAAGTTGGATAACTCTGCCTACATTATTGACAGAATTATGCCCCTTTTTAACTTAGAACTTTTGGTAAAGTTTTTTGTAAAGTCAAATATCTCAATTATTGCTTGAGATATTCAATTGAAACTTACAATACTTATTTATAGTAACAATGTACATCAGATTGACAAGTTGGATAACTTTGCCTACAATATTGACAGAATTATGCCCCTTTGGAACTAAGAATTTTTGGTTAAAGTTTTTTTGTAAAGTCAAATATCTCAATTATTGCTTGAGATATTCAATTGAAATTTAAAATACTTTTTTATAGTAACAAAGTACATCAGTTTGCAAAATTGCATAACTCTGCCTGCAATATTTGCATAATTATTTGCCCCTTTGAAACTTAGAAATTTTGGTTAAAGGTTAAAGTCTTCAAAGATAATTACTTGAAACTTTACACATGCACTTAGGGTCATAATTGGAGGGTCATACTATCAAGCACTTAGAATAGTCGAGCGTGCTGTCCTACCGACAGCTCTTGTTAAAAATATAATTTAAACTAAAAAAGAAGAAAATTTACTTTTAAAATCAGGGGTTGGGGAATGAAAAAAATGTGGATGTGGATAATAATGTCCATTTAGCTGAATATTCTGGCAAAATTTCTAATGACAAAAAAACAACAACAAAAAACAACCAACAACAACAACAGAACAAGGAAAAAAAATGCTTACCTTTAATAGAGTTTTAGTCTTGTGTAGCATAATAAATAGCAATTTATGTTGAATCATTAATCTAGCTTTAAGTACAACAGTTGCATAATATTTGAACATAAAATGTAAAAATATTATTCAATTGTATTGAAAAGAACCAGGTATAATAGTATATTTTTTGGTCACAAAAGAGAACATCTGGAAAGGCCTTGGAAAACAGTTTTTTTTTTCAAATGTTTTACTATGTTAAGCTTATAACACTGGTGTGTCTGTTTATTTGATATGTATAGTATTTTTGTTACAATTTAAATTTCTCAATATACCTGTATAGACTTTGGGGTGCATCTTAAACAGTGAGATATGAAGGGGCATGCCAACATGGTAAGTTTTCAAATTCATGTACTTTATGTCAAAGGAGCAAAATTATAGTAAATCATTGTATATGTAGTTGGGTAAAGGAGCATGGAAATAGAAATGGTGGGGCTATATATTTAATCATAATAAATATAAATGCACTTAAAATTATAAGTTTTTTAAAATTAAAAGAATTATTTTTCATGGGCTTCATGCCAACTGTTAGTATATCAGGAGTGATTTTCCGTCTTATACATGTATAACAAGAGGCCTATAAAAGGCCTCTTGACTTCTCAAAGTAAATTTTCATTAAAATCATGCAGTTTTCCCGTTCAGTAATCAAATTCCTGAAAAAAAGGTAATGCTGGTTAAAGTATAATAGAGTAGCAGCTGTATGCCCCAATTCATTTCTTTAAATTTGATTTAGAATAAAATATTTTGGTTCGTTTACTTACTGTGTTATGTGTTTTAGCAATAGCATTGCACAGATTCAGTGTTACTTTTCGGATAATTGCACATTCTTGCATTACTGGATACGCACAGTGTTATAGGCTTGTGTGTAATTGGTTTGTCTCCATTGGCCTGAAATGATTTTTTGCTGTGAAACCTTTCATTGCATTTTTCTAAGGAATTTCAATATCAAAAAACACTTATATAACTTTAAGCCAGTTATAGAAATAATAAAATTACAAATGTAGATAGATCTTGAGCCTCAGGTTGGCCTATAAGTACATGTACAGGGTAGCCTGGCTCTAGATCTTGAGCCTCAGGTTGGACTACATGTATAAGTACATGTACAGGCTAGCCTGGCTCTAGATCTTGAGCCTCAGGTTGGACTTCATGTATAAGTACATGTACAGGCTAGCTAGGCTCTAGATCTTGAGCCTCAGGTTGGCCTGTAAGTACATGTACGGGCTAGCCTGGCTCTATATCTTGAGCATCAGATTGGACTATAAGTACATGTACAGGCTAGCCTGGCTCTAGATCTTGAGCCTCAGGTTGGACTACATGTATAAGTAGCTTTTGACTATCATAGGCAAGGCTTACATAGATACATTTATATATAGTTATATTCATCTTATATAGAATTGAAGATTATGATTTCAAACATACACATTTGTTTGAAATTCAACCTATATAAGTTTGCCTTACATGATTTATACGGTTCAATTCTTTATGTTGCCTGATTTGCATGAATGGTAAAGCATTTTAAATGATATGGCTATGGGATATAAGTTTTTACTCTGCATACAAAATGGTACAAATCAGTTTGGTGATATGGAAGTTTTTTTTATCGAAAAAGCTTAATGTATTTGTCTGTTATGATGTTAGCATGCTTTATGTAGATAGGAATCAGTGAGGGTATAGACAGAGCTTAGAATAAATTCTTATCAAAGTCGGTGTATACAGCTTCCATTTTACAGTGATGTTTTTTATTTTTTAAATTTTTATTAAACAGCAGATGCTTTAAAATTTGCATTTTTGACTGATTATAAATTGCATTATAATTATGTTTAATTAAGACAGAACTGTAAAGTAAGTTGAAAAAAAATCAGACAGTCATACTTCAAACCAAACAAAAAAGATTCATCATTGCTAAACAACAATTGAAACCATTTAAATTACTATATTCTATTTTATTTCAGTAGTTGAGATGCATACCAGTGTAATAACATTGTGTTGTCTTTATTTCAGGTGTAGAAATATGTTAATTAATATTATGAACATTTATGAACTATAAAAATAGCACATATGTATTTTAACTCGCCTGAACACATTTTCCAAAAATGACCTTTAAATTTAAATAATATCTTTAGAAAGTCATGTGTGTGGAATAACTTTTTACATTCAATTGAAATAACTTTACCTATTATGGACCATAGTTTCGAAACTTTGACCAACAATGGTCACATTGATGACCTCAGCACAGTAATGGGATAACTTATATCAAATTTAATATGAGTTAATCTGTTACTAAGGTGACGAATTTTGACCCTTTTTGACACATTTTTTACTTCAATCTTCAAAGCTTGACCTTTTGTACAAACAAAATATGACCTTAAATGACCTTAAATATGACCCAGAGACCTACTTCTGTAGTGAAGATATTATTACCTTAGCTGCTGCTCTCAGGTGAGCTATCTAGGGCCATTATGACCTTCTATAATTTTATTTCCTTGTTCAGTTTAAAGGATAGGCAATTCAATGACGTTATTGTGTTGGCTTGAATAACCATTAACATATGCATGATAGGCAAGTTATGCATATATTTGATTATATAGTTAGAAGTGTAGTGTCCTATTTACATATTTAGTTAAAGGTGTGATGGCAGTTGTTGTATAACCTGACATGTTCATTTGATTTTCTTTATAAATTTAAGGTTGACAGAAACCATTAAATTTTTCTTTCCTTGTTTAAGATATTTTTGAATAACAAAATAGTGAGTAAAATAGATGTTTTTGCATCCCCACCCCTGCTAATGTTGTCTGATCTACATGTATTACTGGATTTCTCCTTGGTAAATTGCAATGATTTCAAGATCAAAGACAGTTGACAGAATCAGAATGAGGTAAAATTGCAAAAAAGTGCTTGGTGTGTGTTATATTTTTTTATAATCATCTCCGAAAACCCATACAGGTGACTGATGGGGAAAAGTGGAAATCTAGAAATTTGTAGTTTATTTTTGTTTGTTTTTTTTTTTCAGAAAAGAGAGAAAAATATAAATTATACACATGTACTTGTTGGAGAGCGGAATTGGCCAAATTTTGGTCCTAAATTGACCTAAAAAAGGCACTGCAATTGAAATCTAAAACATGCAATGATATAACACAATATTACATAATATTTCAGTTTAAAAATCTCGTTCATTTATCATGTACAACATGGAAAACCTCGTAGTTCATAACAACTTCATTTCATATCTATTGCCTAAATAGATAACTAACTTAACTGTCTATTTGTTTACACTTGGTAATATTGTCCAAAGGGAAACAACTTCCTTAAAAATAATTTTTTATAAAGTTTAAGCTCAGATACATGTGTTTGTTAAATTATATTAAAAGCTCAATTTCATATACATGGGATTTTATTTGAAATTTTAAACATTAAACCAAAATATGGATTTAAAGGTACATAGAATTTAATTAGTATCTTTAAACAATTATGAATGTAACCTGTATTTAATGTTTTTGTAAAACGAAAGTTGATAAATCTATTACCTGTAAATAACAGATTTGAAACAAAAAATATAAGTAATATTATAATGTAGATTATCTTTATCTGTTTATCATTTATGTCATGAACAAGTTTTTTGTAGGTGATTCTTGTTCTAACAAAAAAACAACACTTTTATACCTTTTTTGTTTTAGCTCACTTGAGCCCATTGTGGTCAGATGTCCATTTTTTTGGTGGTCATGTGTCCATCGCTTGTCATTTGCTATGATTTCTTTACTTAAACACAAGTTTGATTTTGCCCTTTACAAGAGTTTATATAACTTAATTGAGTCTGATGCATAAGTAGGTCACAAGAGCTAAAATCTAGACTTAAATCTTTAATAATCCTGATCTAAGTAACAACAATTCAACAAGCATCACCGTATGGTCCCCTGGGAAAGTTATCCACAAAAGTCAAAATGGCCACAATTTGGTCCCTGTGAGTCACTTACGTTGTTTAGACTTATAAATGAATGCACATTTAATTCATCAGGACTGTGTGAAAAAAACACTGCATAGAACTTAAATATTTAGCATGCAGCATCTCTACAAATGCTATATAATATAAATCATGCCCCCTCGGTCAAAAAAGGCCCTGCTTTGGGGGTCACACACTTTACATGAACTGAAGTAATAATAAATACCTTAAAACCCTCTCCTAAACTTAAATGCCCTGAGCATAGATCTTTAGCGTGTAATTGTTACATCATTCTTTGGTCCTCAACAAAAGTTATCATGCGTCTGATGTTAAAGTTTGCCTTGCCCCTTCGGATACTTTAATTATATAGACCTATATAATTTAAGTATCCCAAGGGGCAAGGCAAAATTTAACTTTAAATGGAAATAATTTTTAAAAAATTCTTTTGTGGATTCCTGTTAGATTAGACGTTTGGTTTTTACAGTTTATGGGGGCTGATTTTTACACTTTTTGATCACGTTGGGGTAGGGCAACAAGACAAACGCCAAAAAGGGGCAGTCAGGTCCCAAAAGGGACGCCAAAGGATGTTCATGTGGGGTGTTGTCGCAATGTTACATTGTTGCTTGGCAAGACAACGCACCATTATGCGTGACCCGCTAGAGACAGGACAACAAGACAACAACACGCTGATTAGCGCTTTGTCGTGTTGTCGCTTGCGACAGGACAATGAGATGAAGGTCAGACAACGCACCTTTTGGCGCTTTGTTGTGTTGTGGCTAGAGCCAACTAGACGCACAAAAGCGTACCAAATCAGCCACCATACGTAGTAGACTTCTACAAAAGTCACATAAGTCATCCCCAGTCAGTCTGAAATAAAGGTTCTAGTAACTAAAAGGTTACGGCTATTCTCTAAATAAAACAAAAGTGATTTCATTATGATTTCAGGAAGAAGTAGAAGAGATGGAGAGACAAACTGTTATCAGTGTGGAGGGTATGACGTGTCAGTCATGTGTCCAAAGTATTGAGTCAACTATTTCCAAAATGAAGGGAATCATCAATATCAAGGTAAGTTCATCAGTACATCGACTTCCAGTGGCAAGAATGTCACAAAAAAAATATAGTGCCAGACCAGTCCAACTGGTTGATAGATACAATCAGTTTAGAATTTGTTGTGTTTTTGTTCAACTCTAATCCAAATTGGGTCACATTTCATTAGTTTCAAAACAATTTGACTGATTTTGTGCTGACTTGCCTAGCTTTGAATTTGTAGTTTCAGAGTTTTATGAATGAAGTTAATTCAAGTAATATATTATGGAGTTGAAATGTAGTAAAATGATTTATAGTCAGTTCTTGTCATAGGAAGAATAAAAGATGAGACAATTCAAATAGAAATTGAACATTTTTGCAGAAATTTATCCGGCATAAAAGAAATAAATTTAAATAATGCCACCATGATAGAACAAGTCCAGCATGCACATCTGTGCATTTTGCTTGGACTAAAATTCTAAATTGCCTGCACAATTTTATCATTTTGTTACTGAAATCATATTAATAAATCAAATTCAAAAACTAGTCCATTATACAAAGTCAACTAGGTAAGAGTTCAAATTAAGTTTATATTATGCATTAATTGCAGTTTCCATCAAAATATAAAAAAAATATATAATCTGAGAAATTCATCAAAATACAGTGAATCTTTAAATAAACTATTGCCTTTCATCATTACAACACCTAACCATCATTGACTCATATCAGCTGCAATTTATTTTATTTATTATATATAAAAACTGAACAAGTTTTAATCAGATGGTAAAATGCAGAAATAAGCAAAATTTTAGCAAATGATTAAAAACAGATAATTTACCTTTCATTGTGATATATCCATTTGGTACATTTAACAAAATTTACATTGCTTGACTACATATGATATGTATGCCTGGTAACTTTATAACATAGGTTAGTGTATCAAATGAGTCTAAATGTGACTATATATAAAATACAGGATATACAAGTATGTACAAATTTTTAACTGATCTGATTGCTTGTTGTCCACTTACAATGTTTACTTGTATCTGTTGACCTTCTCTCAACAAGATAACCTATTGCTAAACCTTTGACCTCCAATGATAACATTTAAAGATTCCCTCTTATATATGGTCCAGAAACCTTTCTCTAAACCCTTATTATGCTGAATTTCTAAAATGGACTTGCCTAGCTACCATTTTAGGAACTGCCCATTTAATCACATAAGGGGATATCAAGATGAACTAGATGTAAGTTTGAAGTTGGTTAAGCCAACAGTATTGAGCCTGGTTGGACTGCATGGATATGCAGACTGGAGAAGCTCTGTACTGATGGTGAACACTAAGCCCTTCCAGCGGAGCAAGGGTTATGACTTCTATATGTATTGGAGTTATAATGATAATAACAATAATATTATTATAATAAAATAAGACATATTTCTTACACAAATTTAATATTATATTTATCACATAGCCAAAATAAAGACTGTTAAAGAGAAAAAGAATTGTACATCATGATTACATAAATTGTAAAAATCTAGAACAAGGGTATCCCTAACAATGAAAACAACAATATTGCATGAAAATTGCTGACTCGTTAGTTTCAGTTTGATTGAGTCTGTTCAGGGGAGACAATGTGAAAATGAAACATCTCTTATGCCCCCTGGAAACTCGTACGATCAGTCTTCAACACTATTGTGCTGAACTACTAGGAACAATGTCAGTCTTAAAAAACTTTGTTTTAACAGCTTATACAATGCACCTTTACATTCCTATTGCTCTACCAATAGTTGGAAAGTGTCGTCATTATGGCCACATGCATTTAATAAACAGTCCTAGCACTATGTACATAGGTTAGTTTAGGAGAACTGGAATAAAAATCTTACTGTTTTGTGATTGTTTTGCTTACTCCACATGTGCATGTATTGCTTGTGACCTTGTGCCTACATGGCCTTAAGTTCCCTTAGCATAAACTTTATTGCAGCAATGATTACATCATTATTGTTTAGTGTTTTAGTATTCATTACATTTTAATTGTTTAGACAACATTTTATGGTTTGCTATATCTAGATAAAGTTAAGTTTACATCTAACGGTTCTGTTAATTAAAAGATCAAAGGGTTTCTCTCATAAAATTATTAAAGTAAACATCCTGTCACCAGGATGAATACTGAAAATAAATACAAAGTATTTTAGCTTCATTTAGAATGCAAGCTAAAATGACATTTTACTGAATTTCAGGAGCACATTTGAATAAAAGATGATTTTCTGAGAGGGATATGCTGATTCTGTACTGTAGAATTAAGTCTTTTATTAACATATATTTCAACAGCTTATATCACAAGTGCACCAAATTGGTCCAGATAATAGATATGCATGTTGTTTTTCTTATTACATGTACCTGTTAAAGACAGTCTTTCGTTTAAAAGTTATAGAAAGCAAAATATGCCAGACTCACTAAATACTAATATTCACCAATATGATATACTATAAGGCAAGGCCTGGGTGCAGTGTGCCTGTCCTGGTCTTCTGACATTAGGCTCAGCTGCATGATTTAAACAATTTGGTATTGAAAGTCCTAAACAATGGAAGTTCAAAATTCAAAACAGATTTAAGCAATTTGATATTGAAAGTCCTAAACAATGGCAAGTTCAAAATTCAAAACAGATTTAAACAATTTGGTATTGAAAGTCCTAAACAATGGAAAGTTCAAAATTCAAAACAGATTTATACAATTTGTTATTGAAATTCCTTAACAATGAAAGTTCAAAATTCAAAACAGACTTAAACAATTTGATATTGAAAGTCCTTAACAATGAAAGTTCAAACTTCAAATTTGATATTGAAAGTCCTAAACATGGAAAAGTTCAAAATTCAGAACAGATTTAAACTATTTGATATTGAAAGTCATAAACAATGGAAAGTTCAAAATTCAAAACAGGCAAAGTCAAGTAGTGGGACATTGGTTGGAAAACAGTACATGTATGTTAACCATATCCATTCATTTGAAGATATAAATAGAAAAAATACTGTGCAAAAGGATGTACAAATATGAACAGTTTTATTGTATTATGAAGTACATGATTTCTACTTAAAGATTTTATTATAAACAGGATGTACTTTTCAAGTCTTTATTTCCTGTTGATTGTTTAGATTATGTTTTCATAAAACCAATATACATGTACAACTATAAAACAATGAAGAAGTGATAAAATTACATAGATGTTACAGAAATTTAGACCTAAATAAAAATGGTCATTATAAAGACGCTATTTGGCTTATACTAGTAAAAGAGAGCTTCAGTTGTCTATGATAATAAGAATTATGATGGCACAAAGGACTCTTGGCCCTGTCACTTAATTCTTAAAATTGCTAAATTTATTCAGTCAAATACTACCCCAATAAATTGTGCACCAGGGCTTTTTGTTACTTAAACGATGGTCACCCTTCGCGACCCTTCTTTTCTTTGTAAAGACCAACATCTATGATATATCAGTTGTAAGATCGTTCGGTCTTGCAGACGCCATATTACACCTGAATTAAAAAATGACACAGCTTCATTTTTTTTTGTCCTAAACATAATTAAGCCCCTACAAAGCTATTATAATTATGTATTATAGCTTAAGGCCAAAGAAAAATGATCATTCAAAAAATGATGTAAGTTAATCAGGTGATATGTCACAACTAAAATAAGCCGTGTCATGACAAAACCAACATAATGGGTTTGCGACCAGCATGGATCCAGACCAGCCTGTGCATCCGCGCAGTCTGATCAGGATCCATGCTGTTCGCTTACAAATCCTATTACAAGTAGAGAAACTGATAGCGAACAGCATGGATCCTGATCGGACTACGCGGATGCGCAGGCTGGTCTGGATCCATGCTGGTCGCAAACCCATTATGTTGGTTTTGTCATGACACGGCTCAAATGTATTATTTAACCTGGTGGAAACATTTCCCGTTTGCTTCACTGAATGGGAATTGAATGAAAAAAGACCAAACTTAAAAAAAATAAACGATTATAATTTTTTTTTTTTTTTTAAAATAACCTTTTATATTTTTTTTTAAAAATATTTAACCCGATGGGAAAAAATTTTAAAAAAGGATTTTTTAAAAGATTTTTTTAAGAAGGGATTGGGCCCATGTTAATTTTTGAATTACTTTTTTTAGTAAAAGGGGAAAACTGTTACAGTTTAGAATATTGTTTTTTAATCATCAGGGCACTAATTTTTAGGATTTAGGTTAAAAGGTTAAAATTTGAAAGGATAAACCATTTTTTCATTGAAAAAATTGTCTTTTTGGGGTTTTTTTTAAGATTTAAAAAAAATTTTTTTAGAAAAAATATGGTAATTGAGTTGATCTATCCGTAGAGGGCATTTGGATGTGTATTTATAGTTTTAGATGTTTTTCTTGGAATAGAAACTTGAGTATGTCACTACATGTATGTAAAATGGACGGGGCAATGTTTATGCAAACAGTTTACTTTCAGTTTATTGTTTAATACAGTTTTGTGTTGGTGTTAAGCTTTCAGTAAAATGTGTGTATTTTTTTGTGTAAACAAAGTTGATCTAAAAACATTTTTGCTTATTTTTGCCAAATTTATAGAAATCGAAAGCCTACAAAATAATTGTGATATCCTAGGGCAATCTATGGTGTAAATTTCATTGTCTCAGCTGTCAATTTATGTCCTTAAAAATTTTTGTTAATACTATTATAAAGTAAAAGTTATTGTTTATGTTGTTATAATTTGAGTGCTTTGGAAGATGTAAGTAACACTATGTTTTGGTATGCATTCTTTACAAACACCATGTTCTGTTCATGATTATGTTTATAACTGTTTCAGAAGAACTTAGTGACACAAGTTTCTGTTGTAAATTCGAAAAGCTATTGGGGTGTATTTCGTAAACTTAAAATTAAGTTACACTAATGCCTGTCTTAAATTTGAAAACATTTGACATAGTTTAGGAGCCATGCTCCTTTAAATACTTGTGAAACTAGGGTCACTTTGATTACACCATTTATACTTTAGTCTAGTAAATTTTAC